AAACCTACCATTAAAATTATAGACTGATCATTTCTTTTTCAGTTGGCAAACGTACAAAATCAGCAGGGGATCAAATACTTTTTTCCCTCACTGTAAGGGAGAAAGAAAAAAACCACTGTGTGCGATATCATGTTATTGTATTTAATTGTTGCTTTATTCGAGGTTAACAAATTCATACAAACAAACACATAAATATGAGCACCCCTCCCCCCTCACACACAGACAGAGTAAACAGGGGGACATAACTGACATTCCAATGTGGTAACAGTGTAACAACTTTTTAAAAACGCTTCCCTTGAAGCAATATCATTATTTGACTTCTTTAAGTATCATAATAAACGTCATACAAAAATCTGATGATGCAAGGTCAGAAAATGGACCAATAAAGTGCATTTACTTGACTGTCTCTATGGAATATAGAAGTCCATGGGTGCGTTCCAGGTACACAAACTCTGCACAGGTCTGAGGTCAGATGATCATATCTTTACATCATCTGGAGAACTGTTTAACATCTTAGGAAGCACATCAACATGATATAACGATCCAATAAACTGCAAGGACCTAAGTAGAATGAGTGTATCTGGAACGCACCTAAAGTGTTAGGTAGGGCTGGATCTGACAGCAGAAAAGGTGTATCTGGAACGCACCCAAATTCTTAGGTAGATTTTTTATTAATTTTTTTGTCATTTAGCAGACGCTCTTATCCAGCGCGACTTACAGTTAATGAGTGCATACATTTTCATACAGGTCCCCCGTGGGAAACGAACCCACAACCATGGCGTTACAAGCGCCATGCTCTACCAACTGAGCTACACGTGGCCTGGTAGATAGCGAAGTAGGGCTGGATCTACACTCTGGAACGCACCCAAAGTCTTAGGCAGGTACTAGGCCTGGATCTGACAGAAGCCTGACACCTTTGGAGTACAGGCTCCAGATCAGACAGCTAGCCAAGCCAGGAAGGAATATTCAGAGTATGCTGAGCCAACTGAGCCTGACAATCAACAGAATTACACACGACACAACCACCCTGCCTGACACTGACACGAATAGTGCTGAGCTGAACTGAGTTTTTACCCCACCTTGACCTCACCTCACCCAAGTGATAGTAACATTAAATAGCCTAACTGCTGTAGATCCTAATCATTTATCACTGATGAAACACTAACGTAATTACACTCAAGTTTAAAAACTCTCTGTATTCTCTTCTCAGTGAATCATCATCATTGAGCTTATTCTGAACTCTTCTATCTAGACTTCTATCCAGGGGCGCAACTTTGGTTTTAGAAGTGGGGGGGACATTAATTGTTATAAAAAAATAAAAAAATGTAATCCGGTCAGATAACCACTCCAAACAGCCTACCCGACCGCTCGGAGGCTTCCGCATGGACAAAACTGCAATTTCAGAATGTGGGGGGGACATAGTCCTTCTTTGTGTTTTCGACATGTAATCTCATTGTCAACAAAAGCTTTGGTAAACCTATAATTTCATTGTGTTTTCAGGCTTCAAACTGATTGAACAATAGGCTAAATACCTTTGTAACACTTGAGAGTATAGACAGCATACAATCAAGTGTACATTTGACTTCTCTGACACTTCAACAATGTTTTGATTGTTTTGTCTCTCTGAGAACTATTGTATGCCTCATGGTATGATGAAATACTTCCTATAAAAATACATTAGTGACCACTGTCCCATGTTACTGTATCAGCCAGGACTGTTACCATCCAAAGTCCATGGCATGGTGAAAAATATCTACTCCATTAGTTCCAGTGAGGACATAGTGACAACACCCCGAGACAGCCCTGAACAAACTCAGTCCCATTCCATTTGTCTGATACAACTGAGCCAACAGACAGACAGACAGACAGGCAGGCAAGCAGCTGACCCATCACTGAGAGCTCCACATCACCTGGTCAATGTATTGATAAGGAGACACCTAGCATTATGGGTACTGTAGTATACCATACTAGTCAACACCACGTGTCCAGCTCATGGTTAACAGGTTAACACCCCGACAGGTGGGTCACCATCCACCACCATTGATATCTCATATGAAGTCCTTCTGTAACTCCACCAACTCCGCCATGATGGCGGTTGTGTGTGTGACCAATCCGATCATCTCTTCTTCTTCTGTTGAGCTTTCTGCATCTTCCTCCTTTTGATGATCATGGTGTGGAGCTTCTCGAGACCTTCCTGTAGCCCCTCCCCTATGATGGCACAGGTGGGCTGCAGGTGCCAGGGCGTTCCATTACCCAGTTCCCCTAGCGCCAGAGAGCGCTCCATCTCGTGAAGCGGCAGAGAGTTCCTCAGGTCCTGCTTGTTGGCCACCACTAGAACAGGCACCCCCTGGTTCTCTGCTAACCTCGTGATCTTATGGAGCTCCGTCTTGGCCTCCTCCAGGCGCTCGGTGTCGACGGAATCCACCACGAACACAATGCCGTCGGCGCACCGCGTGTACGAGCGCCACAGGGGGCGAAGCTTCTCCTGACCACCCACGTCCCAGAAGTGGAACGCTGCCTTCCGCCAGGACTTTCCGCTAGCGCTCAGGGACACTTTGATTTTCTCCGTGTTGAATCCCTTAGTGGGGACCGTGTTCACAAACTCATTGAAACGAAGGCGGTAGAGGACAGTGGTCTTCCCGGCGCAGTCCAGACCCAGGATGACAATATGGAGGGCCTGGAAGGAAGGAAGGCTGGGGAAGATCTGGTCTGATAATCCATTCCCCATCTTGTTATTCACACTTTGAGGGAGACTCAGACAGGGGAGAAGCGTGCCGCTGCTGCTTCAGCAAATAATCACAAGGCTTCTTTGCTCATTCCTTTCCCAGGGGGCTGTCCTGCAGCATTCACCTGGAAATAAAAGAGAGAGGATACAATGTAAGCAGCTGTAAAAAGCACTCAACAACCAACAAGAACAATAGTCTGTTGCTTTACAACTGTAAGTGAATATAGCCTAGGCCTATACAGTCTCTCTCTTTTTTCCTTTTCTCATTGTAAGTGAAAATGCTCTCTCTCTTTCTTATTCTTAAGCCTTTTACATCTTTAATATTTCGGGCCATGAGATGAATGAGAGGTAAACCAGCGGGGTGTGCAAGGAGCCTATTTGCACATGTAGTGGCTAGTGCAGCGCTCGGTGGATTTCATATGTTAATTCCCATTCAGAGGCAGTAGGCTATCGATATTGAATGACAAGGACCCTGGCGTGCTCCCAACAAAAATCCGATTTGAACTGTCGTCGGGTTGATGATCATTGCTGTTGGTACAAGAGCGTGGAATGACATTATTCTGCTCGTTGCCTGCCAAATCGTAAATTGAGAGAATAATCTAAATATGCTACACAAGATTGACTGGCTGGCCATCAAGAAACTGTTGCGCTGCAACATCAGTCTTCTACCACTAACGGCAAAACAAATGGTTTGACAGGCAGACAGAGGGGCAGAGGGGTTATGCCAACAAGTGCTATGAAAAAAAAAAAAATGAATGAATGCTCTTATATATTAGCAGGCTATTGCTAGTTTGCTATTCAATCATCTTGCACTCAATAACAGGCGGTCTAGGCAGACATTCAATGCAAACTGTCATGAAAAACTGGCGACGATGGTTTGGGTATAATCTAATTTATTCCACATATTGTACTAAACGTAATCTCTGTTCATAATCTGCATGGAAAAAAAATGCACACCTACCTTTGTGATGTAGGCCTATGGACTTTCCAAAACATGAAAGCGAAATCGTCGCAACAGGGTATCCTTTATGATCTCCTCTCTCTTGCTCACACTATCACGTCCACACGACTACTGAATGATAAACGTGGATGGACTCCCTCTCCAATCCATTCCCGCACCACGGGTTCAACCCAGAATGTTTCTAGCAGGAGCTCTGGTTGGTTGAAGTCCCAGAGCGCTCCGTTTTCTCATTGTCCGATTGGTGGAGAGTGGTGCCTGTCGTCGTCCCCACACGACACACCTCCACGCGCCACCTGTATCTGTCACTTGGTGTCATTGAACACTGAAATTACATTGTAACGGGTTGCAATGAAAAGGGCGTGTTATATATTCTAGATGTACTTGACACAATGTTTTCTGTGTAAAATGTGTGTATCTTATCTGGAACTCATCTATAGGCTACATTTGTATGGCTGGGGATAGAAATGTTTCAAGTTTCATTGATTGCAACCAACGTCAAGAATATGAAGATCTAGATATTTAATTAAAGATGTGTCATGCCTAAATGTGTATGTTTAAATAAAGATAGGGCCAATGTATGCCGATTTTTTTTATGATTTTATAATTAGATCAGAATGTCTGTGCTATGTGAGGAAAAAGCTTTAATGCAGCTTTAATGCAAGATCAAAGAACAGGGTGATTTACAAGGTGAGGACTATCAAGAACACATTTACTGTGTGGCTTGGGTGGTCTCTCGGATCTGGTCTGATCGCTCAATGGTTTCAATCGTATGATCTGAAAGTGGGTGGGATCCTCAGAAGCAGACATTGGGATGGCGGGAAATTGACATTCGAAAAAACATTGCAGTGCAATCCCACTGTGTACACACTGGTTGAATCAACGTTGTTTCCACGTCATTTCAATGAAATTAAGTTGGACCAACGTGGAATAGACGTTGAATTGATGTCTGTGCCCAGCGGGATCGCACACTCAATTTACTTAATTTGATATTCGTAAAATGACCAAAATGACTTTTTCAGGTACTCAAATATTGTAGTAATTTTTTACAGGCTACAGAGTAGTCCAAGGTTTGAGATGAAGACAAGACACTTGGAGCTAATAACTGTTTAATAATGTATTAGCGCCATCTTCAATTCATTTGATTGTCCATTGTGGTTAGACTTTTAGCCTGGTAATTACCAGACTGACTAGCGAACCATTCATGTAAGCTCGCAAAATCAGGCGGCTTGCGAGGCTAGGTTAGACTTGAAAATAAATAAATTAAAATATCTTTCTCAGTGTGAGTTCATGCAAAGAACTCTCAGCAGGCGTTATGCATTTTCTTTCATAGTTTTTAATGACAAAAGCATTCAAACTTCCATACTCGCCAATACACAAATTACAAACATATTTTCTTTTTTTATATACAGCAAACAGCAAATGTTTTTTTACCCAATAAATTACTGGGAGGTTATACATATGGAGTGTGCTACTCTCTTTGTTTTGATAGCATACAGCAAATACCAACATTTACAAGTCCAAATGTAAAGATCAGCATTCAAATTAACTTCATATATCATACATTTTGGTCTTTTGTCTTTGGAACAAAAACAACAAAGATGTCCAAGCTGTGCACATTATCTGGGGTTTCACTATAGTACTTGTAAACCCTCGGCTGAATACAAAGTGAAGGTTATAACCGTTATAACAGTCTAAACTGTGTTATAACAGTGTTATAACTGTTGGGATTCATTGATGCTAAATCTGCAGTGTCTTCATGGTCATAGCCACGGTGTCTGAGTCCCAGCGTGCTGTGTCCCACCCCAGGAACCACCCTGTGAAGGTGGGGGGCTCATGACCCTGCTTCACCATCACTATGGAGGTCCTCTTATCCCGACCCCCTGGATCTGTCTCTATGTATGTCTTGGCTGTAAGGAAGGGAACACATAGATGTTGTCAATCAATGGGATAAACCATAGAAAATATTGTGTTCACACCTCAAATATATTAAAGGAATACAGTACCAGTCAAAAGTTTGGTCATATCTACTAATTCAAGGGTTTTTCTTTATTTGTACTATTTTCTACATTGTATAATACTAGTGAAGACATCAAAACTATGAAATAACACATATGGAATCCTGTATTAACCAAAAAAGTGTTAAACAGATTCCTCAAAGTATCCACCCTTTGCCTTGATGACAGCTTTGCACACTCATGGCATTCTCTCAACCAGCTTCATGAGGTAGTCACCTGGAATGCTTTTCCAACAGTCTTGAAGGAGGGCGGCGGACAATTGGCCCAGCGTCGTCCGGGTTTGGCCGGTGTATGCCGTCATTGTAAATAAGAATTTGTTCTTAACTGACTTGCCTAGTTAAATAAAGGTAAAATAAATATAAATAAATAAAAAGGAGTTCCCACATATGCTGAGCACTTGATGGCTGCTTGTCCTTCACTCCGCGGTCCAACTCATCCCAAATCATCTCAATTGGGTTGATGTCGGGTGATTGTGGAGGCCAGGTCATCTGATGCAGCAATCCATCACTCTCCTTCTTTGTCAAATAGCCCTTACACAGCCTGGAGGTATACTTTGGGTCATTGTCCTGTTGAAAAACAAATGAAAGTCCCACTAAGCGCAAACCAGATGGGATGGCGTATCGCTGCAGAATGCTGTGGTAGCCATGCTGGTTAAGTGTGCCTTGAATTCTAAATAAATCACAGACAGTGTCACCAGCAAAGCACCCCCACACCATCACACCTCCTCCTCCATGCTTCATGGTGGGAACCACAAATGCTGAGATCATCCATTCACCTACTCTTCTTCAGAGTTGCAATGAAAAAGCCATATCTCAGACTGGCCAATAAAAATAAAAGATTAAGATGGGCAACTCTGCCTAGAATGTCAACATCCCGGAGTCGCCTCTTCACTGTTGACGTTGAGACTGGTGTTTTTTGGGTACTATTTAATGAAGCTGCCAGTTGAGGACCTGTGAGGCGTCTGTTTCTCAAACTAGACACTAATGTATTTGTCCTCTTGCTCAGTTGTGCACCAGGGCCTCCCACTCCACTTTCTATTCTGGTTAGAGCCAGTTTGTGCTGTTCTGTGAAGGGAGTAGTACACAGCGTTGTACAAGATCTTCAGTTTCTTGGTAATTTCTCACATGGTATAGCCTTAATTTCTCAGAACAAGAATAGACTGACGAGTTTCAGAAGAAAGTTGTTTGTTTCTGGCCATTTTGAGCCTGTAATCGAACCCACAATTGCTGATGCTGCAGATGCTCAACTAGTCTCAATAAGGCCAGTATATTTGGTTCTTTAATCAGCACAAAAGTTTTCAGCTGTGCTAACATAATTGCAAAAGGGTTTTCTAATTATCAATTCGCCTTTTTAAATGATAAACTTGGATTAGCGAACACAACGTGCCATTGGAACACAGGACTGATGGTTGCTGATAATGGGCCTCTGTACGCCTGTGTAGATATTCCATTAAAAATCAGCCGTTTCCAGCTACAATAGCCATTTATAACATGAACAATGTCTCCACTGTATTTCTGACCAATTTGATGTTATTTTAATGGACAAAAAAATTGCTTTTCTTTCGAAAACAAGGACATTTCTAAGTGACCCCAAACTTTTGAACGGTAGTGTATTTTGATATGTTTTTTCATAGTTTTGATGTCTTCACTATTATTCTACAATGTAGAACATAGTAAAAATAAAGAAAAACCCTGGAATGAGTAGTTGTGTCCAAACCTTTGATTGGCACTGTGTATGTATTATATTAAACTCTATATTAAATGTACTCTACGAAAAAGAAACTACCCTATTTACACACACAAGGCAAAGACCAAAACTCACCTGATTTTACAGATTCAGTTCTCTCAACTTCATTGGCATCTTTGCCAATCCAGATAAACACCTATTAGAAAAAAATTTCACCCTCCATAGAGTTAGAAATGGGCTGAAAATTGTAATTTGGGGATGTGTAACAAGCTCCATACCTGATCCCAGACATCCAACAGCATCACGTCATCCTCTGCCAGGTCCTCCTGACTGAACTCTCCTGGAACCTCCTCAATCTGCAAACAGTATTTGTCATCTATCTATCTGAGTGTGTTTGTGTGAGTGTGCGTGCGTGCATGTGTGTGGTACTCACTATGAACCTGCCAGTCTTGTTGGAGCAGGCGAACAGGCGAGGTTGTTGAGTGAGGCTCTTACTCGCCAGTCTCTCTGATGTCTGGTAGTCCTTCTTTCCCCCTAATGCTGCCCAGAGGTTCGCTACAACCAAACCAAACAAACCTGCTTGAGTTTCTTTGCAGCTTGAACTTGTGATATACATTTTTAGGACTAAAAACCTAAAACTTGTCAATCTGCCTCGACACTTTCCTTGTCTCAGTCTGCCCCCTGGTGACATTCCTGAGTACTACATCACATCTCATAAAGTTTCTCAGAGCAGAAGTTCTGATCTAATATCAGGACCCTGTCCATATATTCTTATTCATTATGAGCTAAAAGGAAAACTGATAATACATTAGCACTCCTCCTCTGAGAAGCTTTATGAATATGGGCCCAGGCCAAGGAATCTGTATGATATTCTCACCTGGTTCCTGTCCCTCTACGACGCGTTGTGACTGACACTCCAGCACCTGACTCAGGTACTGGGCCCCCCGCTCCTCGTCCACGCTGGCGCCCTTACCCACCCACAGGTAGCTCTGCCCCGTGGGCAGCTTCAGCAGGTATGCATCGTTAGAGTTCAGGCTGCCAGCCTCCGCATCCACCTGCGACAACACACACAACAGACAATGCAACTGGGATCTAGTGGTGAGGAAACACTGACCTCCAGTCTAGATGATAGGAAATGACAAAATGAGCATCGTAAATGCCAGTGCAAATAAACTCTAATTTAGCATAACCGGTGCATAACCCTATTCACAAAATAGTGTGTAAACTGCGTTCATGTGTGTTTACCTTCCATCACTGCCAATCAAACAACCATTGGTGTGTATCTGTGTGAGAGAACATCCTAACCTCAGCGATGCGTGTGATGGTGCCCAGGTTACGTCGGACCTGGAACAGGCGTGTGGGGGCCGCAGGTGCTTGGCCTCCGATGCGTGAGGTACCACTCTTATATACGATGAGGGGCTTGGCTTTGAACAGACTCAGGAGATGGGCAGGCTCTTTTCCTTGGGACACTCTCACCTAGGAAACCAAAAATAAAGTCTTAACGCATATCACATTTGGTACAGGAGCACATGGATAGCAAAGCAATAGCTTGAGGGCCAGTTCGAGACCCTATACTGTAGACAACCACTAGGGGGCGGTATAACACGTCATACACAGTGGGAGATTCTGATTTGGGCAAAAGACCGTTCTCTCTCCTCCGTGACCCAGAAACCGTTAAGTTGTCGAGTGGTCGAAGAAAGTGTCAATTCGTTAGTAGATGAACAAAGGAGTCTGCTCCCCTCGATTACCTACTTCGGCAGAGGATGCACAAGAGTGTCCTCGCGCCAGGTAGCGCAGAAGTGTTTTAATATCCGTCACACCCTCTGAGTCAGCTGTTGTTTTCTCGAAGGAGAAAAGCATGCACACATTTAAAAACTATACTCTACTTATCGTTTTATCTATAACTAGCTACATTTGTTTTGATCACTTTACACATTTATTTTGGTATTCCACCCCTGTAAACGCATTCAGAGAGTTTGGGACTATAAGATTCTATCTGCATTTTTGTCTAAATTTAGTTATTGACATAGCCTTGTTCTGTTCAACGTTCTTTACCTATATAGTACTCTAAATACCCCAAATCATGTTGTTAAGCTCAAAAGAATACAAGATAACATTGCTGACACCATTCAAACCATTGAGGGTTCAGAACTTTAATTATCTCAGAATCATCTTTTTGCACATAGAACCTTATTGTCCCAAAATCTCGATTTGCCTGATGATGCAGGAGTGGAGAAGGAGTTTCTCATTTCATACAAGCACATTTGTTTCCACTTTTCCTCTCCTCGTTTACCTTTGACCTTTAAAAAAAAAGAGGTGAGGAGAGGACAGAGGAGTTAGTAAAATCAATTGAGAATATCCCAGTGTCTCTGTACAAGCGGCACCCTGTGCTAACAGTTGATCATAAAACATTGAATCAGATTATGAGATACCTCCTTCACACCTAGAGAAAATATTCCGTCATGCCCCATAGGCATGGAAAGTAAACCCTGATAAGACAGTCAAATTAGGGGATTTAATACACAGTAGGCTGGAGAGAATAACCTCCTCTAGTATCACACTTTACAACCGTGATATAAAAAAAGGATTGACAAAATGTAAACAGTTTTTACACATTTACACTAGGGCTGGCCCTCTGCTCCAACCACTTCAACATCAGTGTGTGTCTTTCGGAGGGGTTGGGATAAAAGTAGATCCATTGGACATTTGTAGACATCTGACAATAAGAGATCCTCATCTTAATTTGGATTAATCTTACCTGAACTGCATTCCCTCCCAGGGAGCGATCCAGCTCCACAGTTAGGAAGGCAGAAGCTGTGAGCTCATCTAGAGTGCTGCTAGCTCCCTGCCTGCCACAGGAAGTATAGGGATCAATCAATCAATTCATCAATCCATCCAACCAACCAACCAACCAATCAATCTAATTATAATATAATATGCCATTTAGCAGACGCTTTTATCCAAAGCGACTTACAGTCATGTGTGCATACATTTTTACGTATGGGTGGTCCCGGGGATCGAACCCACTACCCTGGCGTTACAAGCGCCATGCTCTACCAATTGAGCTACAGAGGACCAATTGGATATATGAGTACAGGTCTACCAGACTCACCAGGTGTAGATGATCTGTCCTCTCTTATAAGTATAGAGGATGATGTAACAGTCTCCTCCATAGAACTGGCCATACGTATTTGGGTCGACTGGGACTCGACCACTGCTCTCCACTCTGAAGATCTGGAACATAAAACATGCATCTGGCTGGCTATTAGACTATATAATGTGTTTACAATCCATGTGATTGGAATTGTCAGTAGAATAAAACACTTGACTCATTTTGACATTAGCATATTTGCTTATTCACTGCTTGTAATGCTCACGTAATGAGGAATCTTGCCTGATACCTAAAGGCCTGTGTTAGCTCCCTGATCTATTGCTTAGACCTTAGCTCAGTGGTCTTTATTTTTTTTATTTTTTTTGTCATTTAGCAGACGCTCTTATCCAGAGCGACTTACAGTTAGTGAGTGCATACATTTTCATACTAGTCTTGTGGCGGTAACACTTGGTCATGTACCTGAGTGTCCCCTGTGCCGTCGTCCACCATGTTATAATGGGCTGCCATGCTCTGGGACTCATGGAGTTTGGAGGCATCGAACTCCACCTGACGTATCTTTGCGATCCTCTCGGTCACAAAGACCTTCCCCAACCCCTCGCTCTGGTTTTTATCCTTCCACCCCTGGAAGAAATGCTGGAAGATGGGAGTCTCCCCACCCTCTGGGAGTACCTGGATCTGGAGATAGAGAAGAGGAGTGGTTTCTATGAATGTCAGGTTTGGGGATCAACTCTCCTTCAGTCCTGATCAGTTTAGCAGGTCATGAACTGACAGACTGATATTTGAGTCACGGGTTGATCCAATCAAATGATCCAACCAAAGCAATTATGACTGATGCTATATGGATGATAATGAGCATGAACCTGTGTGTTAGGTGGGTAGCCCATCTGCTTGATGAAGCCCTCAGCAGTCTTCATGGCAGTCTTCCTCTCGCTGGGGTTGGCGTTACGGCCTTTATGGGTGATGATGGATGATTCATGAAGAAGAATAGGTACAAAGAAGATGGGACACAAGGATGAGGGGATGAATTTAGATTGTCAAGATAAGCATGTGTATCAGTTTAAATATGTACCTTTCCAGACGAAGATCATCTTGCTTTTCCCGTGGTCCAAGATGAAGCACTCGTCAGACAGCAGATGGCTCTGAGAGAACGGATTCGCCTCTGAGACCAGGGTCACCTGCATCGCTCCGGAAGCATCAGATACCTGGAAGGAACAACAACGAGATGAATTTGTGTGTGTGTGTGTGTGTGTTAGAGTGTGTATACAGTCGTGGTCAAACGTTTTGAGAATGACACAAATACTAATTTTCACAAAGTCTGCTGCCTCAGTTTTGATGATGGTAATTTGCATATACTCCAGAATGTCATGAAGAGTGATCAGATGAATTGCAATTAATTGCAAAGTCCCACTTTGCCATGAAAATGAACTTAATCCCCAAAAAACATTTCCACTGCATTTCAGCCCTGCCACAAAAGGACCAGCTGCCATCATGTCAGTGATTCTCTCGTTAACACAGGTGAGAGTGTTGACGAGGACAAGGCTGGAGATCACTCTGTCATGCTGATTGAGTTAGAATAACAGACTGGAAGCTTTAAAAGGAGGGTGATGCTTGAAATCATTGTTCTTCCTCTGTTAACCATAGTTACCTGCAAGGAAACGCGTGCCGTCATCATTGCTTTGCACAAAAAGGGCTTCACAGGCAAGGATATTGCTGCTAGTAAGATTGCACCTAAATCAACCATTTATCGGATCATCAAGAACTTCAAGGAGAGAGGTTCAATTGTTGTGAAGAAGGCGTCAGGGCACCCAAGAAAGTCCAGCAAACGCCAGGACCGTCTCCTAAAGTTGATTCAGCTGCGGGATCTGGGCACCACCAGTGCAGAGCTTGCTCAGGAATGGCAGCAGGCAGGTGTGAGTGCATCTGCACGCACAGTGAGGCGAAGAATTTTGGAGGATGGCCTGGTGTCAAGTAGGGCACCAAAGAAGCCACTTCTCTCCAGGAACAGACTGATATTCTGCAAAAGGTACAGGGATTGGACTGCTGAGGACTGGGTAAAGTCATTTTCTATGATGAATTCCCTTTCCGATTGTTTGGGGCATCCGGAAAACACCTTGTCCGGAGAAGACAAGGTGAGCGCTACCATCAGTCCTGTGTCATGCCAACAGTAAAGCATCCTGAGACCATTCATGTGTGGGGTTGATTCTCAGCCAAGGGAGTGGGCTCACTCACAATTTTGCCTAAGAACACAGCCATGAATAAAGAATGGTACCAACACATCCTCCGAGAGCAACTTCTCCCAACCATCCAAGAACAGTTTGGTGACAACCAATGCCTTTTCCAGCATGATGGAGCACCTTGCCATAAGGCAAAAGTGATAACTAAGTGGCTCAGGGAACAAAACATCAACATTTTGGGTCCATGGCCAGGAAACTCCCCAGACCTTAATCCCATTGTGAACTTGTGGTCGATCCTCAAGAGGCGGGTGGACAAACAAAAACCCACAAATTCGGACAAACTCCAAGCATTGATTATGCAAGAATGGGCTTCCATCAGTCAGGATGTGGCCCAGAAGTTAATTGACAGCATGCCAGGGCGGATTGCAGAGGTCTTGAAAAAGAAGGGTCAACACTGCAAATATTGACTCTTTGCATAAACTAAATGTAATTGTCAATAAAAGCCTTTGACACTTATGGAATGCTTGTAATTATACTTCAGTATACCATAGTAACATCTGACAAAAATATCTCATAACACTGAAGTGAACTTTGTGAAGACCAATACTTGTGTCATTCTCAAAACTTTTGACCACGACTGTAGACTGTGTACCATACCATGTAGAGTTTGGCCATTTTCCTGTTGGAGATATCTGCCACCATATCGTCATTGTCATCACCTTCTGGTAGATCTGGCTTGTTTCCAAGTACCTGTTAAGGTTGACAGGTAAAAACACAAAGACAAAAAAGACAAAGATAATATTGACTTGTGTTAATGGAGATTGCGAAATGATAGCGCACATAAGTGGATTATTTAACTGTCATACAGTTAGGTGCCTGCAGTGTTTTGCGATTAATGTCCATTCAAGAGTGCAAACGATAGACTAGGGAATGAAAGTTAAATATTGTGGTTGTAAAAATAAATATTAAATTAGCATCTGTCACCTCAGTTAACTCAGATGGCTCACTCCCCTCTTCCACGACAACCAGCTTTGCTCTGCCATTCCTCTCGTTGTCACGGATACTGGCAGCCACCTGCGCTGCCTTCAGGCGCTCAAACTTGTTGCACTCTGAACCGCACCACTGGTAGATAACCTAGAGACAGGTAACAGGTACGGTTCAGTTGAAAATAGGGTTTTGCTCACTTTATCAAGTTCCAGGTGCATGCAGGCGTTTAGCTTCGAGGGCTAACACAATCTTGTGGCAAGCAGATTACCCGGGTTCCAACTCAGTGGGTCACTGTTGTGTGGCAATACATCCTGATTTCGGGCAATATTAAAATAAGAGTGAACAGTACAGCTTGGTGAACATTAGGATACCTTGTACAGTATATCAAATTATCTGATACATAAACCCACCTTAAGTCAACATACCGTAGAACTCAAGCCGAACAGGTAATATTTGTCTTTCAACAGAATTTGAAGTTTGTCTGGACAATGAGTCTGGTTTCTCAGGAAGGTGACAGTCAAATAAATTAACTGTTGTTACAGGGTCACTGAGTGCACTACCATCTGTGCCAGACAAGTGGCAGAGGCAGTGTTACCACCATAGACACTATATCATTGATACATGTTCTATATCTATATGGTACACTCTCACATAGAGGGAGGCTAGAGTACAATCTACCGATCCATTGATCCATCGCTGAGTCAATTAGTCAATCAGTAGATCAATCAATCAATCAATCAATCAATCTATTTATCTATCTATCAATCAATCAAAACTTACTGCACCAAGGTCCACGATGAAGCAGTCCCCTCTGTTGAAGCTGGACCAGTTGAGGGTGACCTCGGTTGCCCTGACGACGCGACGACCTTTGATATGGAATAGTCTCAGAGCTGACAGGTCGTTGGTGACCACATGATGGAACCCAGAGGCCACGCCTCCGGCCTAGAATAGAACAGGATATAATATAATATAATAAAATAGAGTAGATTAGGATAGAATTGAATACTTCATTGCCCTCAAGAGGGAATTTGTCTTGCTCAGTTTAAAAGCATTACAAGATAAAATAAAATAAAATAACATTTTATTTGCCACATGAGCCGAATACAACAGGTGTAGGTAGACATTACCGTGAAATGCTTACTTACAGCCCTTAACCAACAATGCATTTATTTTTAAATAAAAAAGTAAAATAAAACAACAACAACAAAAAAGTGTTGAGAAAAAAAGAGCAGAAGTAAAATAAAATAACAGTAGGGAGGCTATATACAGGGGGGTACCGGTGTAGAGTCAATGTGCGGGGGCACTGGCTAGTTGAGGTAGTTGAGGTAGTTGAGGTAATATGTACATGTGGGTAGAGTTAAAGTGACTATGCATAAATAATTTACAGCGTAAAATGATGGGGTGTACATAGCATACATCACATACAAAATAAGGTACACAGTTACATAGTACCCAACACAAACATCCCTGAAACAACATATAAAAGGCAATGTCAGGGCTTATGAGTACCCTGTGAGGTTGAACAAGGGTAGAATTTCAAGTACTTCCTTCTAGTGAATTGGCAATATTACGGAAAATCAAGAAAGGTTCAGAACCAAGAAAACAAACAGCGTGAGGAACACATAACTGTTTTTCCTCTTGGTCTGCACCTCTTTTTCCCTCCACACCAGGTTCCTTTTCCATCCCATGGTCAGGGCCAAACAAAACGTTACAACAAGTGTTTATTTAATAGCAGACCTCCAGCATATGATGCCCAGGGTCTGAAATGTGGCAAATAGAATGAATGTTCACTGCTAAAAATAAGGGTGCTTTTTGGTTCAATATAACACCATATCTTCTAGTAGTAAATAGCAGTAAGACAGATACAGGAACAAATCTAATATTAGTGAAATAAACGTAAATAAAATGCATCAGTAAGACAATACTGTACTTTGTATGTGATGCCTCCCTTGAAGTATCGTGTGAAGGCGGTGGACTCGAACCCCTGCAGTTCTCTGTACTGGACAGGCTTCCCTCCTAGGAAATCATCCAGCTGAACAGTAAAGATGGCCGCCGCCGTGCTCTCGTCCTGGCTGCACTCCTTACCTGAGGAGAGTACATGAGTGGTACAGTACTTAAATACAATATGATAAATGTTAGTATGAAATGAGAGAGTATTCAAGTTTAGACAAAGGAACTTTAGCACAATGCTCATTCTTATGAGCCAAACTGCCTGGTTGATGTCATCACTGTGATGTTCATAGTATGCTTTATTTTCACATTGTGTGGCGTGTGACTGTTTGTTCACATCTTTTTTGTCACCCTTGCAGACAGATGGCTTGGCAACAATAATCACACTGGTGTTGTGGTCTTCATATTTTTGCTCTAAAACAGAATCTACCATTTCTATTTATGGATTCTGCAGCCGCTGCACAACACTACAGAGGTTTAACACTAGGAGCTGGTGAGAGAGAGAGAGAGAGAGCGAGAGAGAGGGTGGGAGAGAGAGGGTGTGTCACGGTTTCGGCCGAGGCTGCCTCTCTCCCTTGTTCGGGCAGGCTTCGGCGTTCGTTGTCTCCGGAATACTAGCTGCCACCGTTGTATGTTTCATGTTCGTTTGCTTTTGTCTGTTTGTTGTCACACCTGTTCTCGGTTAGCGTAATTAGTGTCCTATAAGTTTCTCGTTGTGTTTGTCTAGTGTTGTGTGTTATTGATTTTGGTCTGTCGTGTGTAGGGCTTCATTTTGTAATTTCGCTCGGTTGAGCTTCCCTCCACTGCGTTGGAGTATTACGCACCTGTTTTGTGCGCTTTCATTTTGTTCGCCTTCGTGCGTCATTTCGCCTTCGGGCAAGAGTTGTCTTATTTCCTTGTTGGAGATTACTAAAGTCTGTTGGACTATACTTCGGTGTCCTGCGTTTGATTCCACCACTGCACCCACCTACAGCACGCGTGACAGAATAACACACCTAAGAATGGAATCAGCAGGAGCCGCAGCAGCCCAGGCGACGCTGGAGGACAGGGTCCGGGAACAAGGTGACCAGATCCTGCAGATGGGGACCGCACTGCAGGAGGTGATCACCACCATCCGAGGCTGGGGGACGCCGCCACCGCCACCCTCCCTGCCAGCACCATCGGCCAGTCAGCCCATTCCCGCACCGGAACCCCGAGGAGTCCGACTCGCGCTCCCGAGGGCTTACGATGGGACCGCGGCCGGGTGCCAGGGTTTCCTTCTCCAGGTGGAGCTGTACCTGGCCACCGTGCACCCGGCGCCCTCGGGACATGAGAGCGTGTCCGCCCTGATCTCCTGCCTGTCCGGGAAGGCGTTGGAATGGGCCAACGCGGAGTGGAGGAGGATCGACGCGGACACCATAACATACGACGAGTTCTCCCGCCGCTTCAGGGCGGTGTTTGACCATCCCCCGGAGGGGAAAGCGGCGGGGGAGCGTCTGGTCTTCCTCCGGCAGGGGAGGAGGAGTGCCCAGGAGTTCGCCCTCGAATTCCGTACTCTAGCGGCAGATGCAGGGTGGAATGATCGGGCTCTCGTCGATCACTACAGATGTAGTCTACGAGAGGACGTCCGTCGGGAGCTGGCCTGTAGGGACACCAGCCTCACGTTCGACCAGTTGGTCGACATGTCCATCAGGCTGGATAACCTGCTAGCTACCCGCGGACGTCCCGAGGGGGGTCCGTCCATTTCACCCTCCAGCGCCTCCGAGCCGTGCCCCATGGAGCTCGGGGGCGCTGGCGCTAGAGAGAGGAGGGGTCGGCTTACTAGGGGGTCCATCCCCTGCACCAACTGTGGTCGGGGAGGACACACCGCGGCTAGGTGCTGGGGATGGCCTCCTAGGGGAGAGGACGACAGGTCCCGCACTGGGGATTCCTTCCAGGTGAGTAGGCGCCCCACTCACCCAGAGCTCTCTGTTGCACATTTCTGTATGCCTGTGAGTTTTCCACAGGTAGCACCTCATTCCCAGCATAAGGCGCTGGTAGATTCAGGCGCGGCTGGGAATTTTATTGATAAGAAGTTTTGTTTAGCTTTAGGGATTCCCCTTCTTCCTGTTGATGTCCCTTTCCCCGTTCATGCCCTAGATAGCCGTCCGTTGGGTGCGGGCTTGATCAGGGAGGTCACTGCGCCACTTAGGATGTGTGCGCAGGGGGGTCATCAGGAGATGATTCAGCTATTTCTGATTGACTCTCCTGCGTATCCGGTGGTGCTGGGCATGCCCTGGTTGAGTACCCATAACCCATCTATTTCGTGGCAGGAGAGGGCTCTGATGGAGTGGTCTGCCCAGTGTGTGGGTAGATGTTTAGGCGTTTCCGTAGGGGCTACCTCGGTGGAGAGTCCAAACCAGGTGCCCGCATTGCACGTTCCTCCTGAGTATGGGGATTTGGCTATTGCGTTTAGTAAGTCGAGGGCGACGCAGTTGCCGCCCCATAGGCAGGGAGATTGTGTGATAGACCTCCAGGCAGGAGCTGCGCTCCCACGGAGCCATGTGTATCCTCTGTCTCAGGAGGAGAAGAAAGCTATGGAGACTTACATAGACGAATCTCTGAGACATACGGCCTTCCACTTCCCCTGCGTCCTCGAGTTTCTTTTTTGTGAAGAAGAAGGATGGTGGTTTGCGCCCGTGCATCGATTACCGTGGTCTCAATCAGATCACGGTGAAGTACAGTTATCCACTCCCGCTGATTGCGACCATGACTGAGTCCTTGCATGGGGCGCGTTTCTTCACTAAATTAGATCTCAGGAGCGCGTACAACTTGGTGCGCATCAGGGAGGGCGATGAATGGAAGACAGCCTTTAGTACCACCTCGGGCCATTACGAGTATCTTGTCATGCCATACGGGTTGATGAACGCTCCGTCAGTTTTCCAATCATTCGTGGATGAGATCTTCAGGGACATGCAGGGGCAGGGGGTCGTGGTGTACATAGATGACATTCTCGTGTACTCGCCTACCCGTGTCGAGCATGTGGCCCTGGTGCGCAGAGTGTTGCGGAGGCTGGTGGAGCACGACCTGTATGTTAAGGCAGAGAAGTGTCTGTTTTTCCAGGAGTCGGTCTCCTTTTTGGGGTATCAGTTGTCTGCGTCAGGGGTGAAGATGGAGGTAGACCGGGTGTCAGCCGTGCGTAATTGGCAAACACCAACCACTGTGAAGGAGGTGCAGCAGTTTTTGGGGTTTGCGAATTACTACCGGAGGTTTATCCGGGGTTTTGGACAGGTGGCAGCTCCCATCACGTCTCTCTTGAAGGGGGGCCCGGTGCGTCTGCAGTGGTCTGCCGAGGCGGACAGGGCGTTTGGGAGGCTGAAGGACCTGTTTACCTCGGCTCCAGTGCTGGCGCATCCGGATCCCTCTTTACCATTTCAGGTAGAGGTGGACGCGTCTGAGGCCGGTATTGGAGCCGTGCTTTCACAACGGTCAGGCGCGCCACCTAAACTCCGCCCCTGTGCCTTCTATTCCAAGAAGCTCAGTCCGGCGGAGCGAAACTATGACGTAGGGGACAGGGAGCTGTTAGCCGTGGTACAGGCCCTAAAGGTGTGGAGGCACTGGCTTGAGGGGGCTCAACACCCTTTCCTCATTTTGACGGACCACCGTAACCTGGAGTACATCCGGGCAGCGAGGAGGCTAAACCCTCGGCAGGCTAGATGGAACATGTTTTTGACCCGGTTTACATTTAAGATCACGTACATCCCTGGGTCACAGAACGGTAAGGCAGATGCGCTGTCTCGGCGGTATGACACGGAGGAGAGGTCCGTGGAGCCCACTCCCATACTGCCGGAGTCGTGTCTGGTGGCACCGGTAGTGTGGGAGGTCGATGCTGAGCTCGAGCGGGCGTTACGCACCGACCCTAGTCCACCACAATGCCCGGAGGGTCGGAAGTATGTTCCGCTCGAGGTTCGGGATCGATTGATCTATTGGGCTCACACGTCACCCTCCTCTGGACACCCGGGTATCGGCCGGACAGTGCACTGTCTTAGTGCCAAGTACTGGTGGCCCACGTTGGCAAGGGATGTGAGGGTTTATGTTTCCTCCTGCTCGGTGTGCGCCCAGTGTAAGGCGCCTAGACATCTGCCTAGGGGTAAGTTATTACCCCTGCCCGTTCCACAACGACCATGGTCCCACCTCTCGGTGGATTTCCTTACTGACCTTCCTCCTTCACAGGGGAATACCACTATACTGGTCGTTGTGGACCGGTTTTCTAAGGCCTGTCGTTTGCTCCCCATGCCGGGCCTTCCTACCGCCCTGCAAACTGCCGAAGCCCTATTCACCCATGTGTTCCGGCACTACGGGGTACCCGAGGATATTGTGTCTGATCGAGGTCCCCAATTTACCTCCAGAGTCTGGAGAGCTTTTATGGAGCGGTTGGGGGTCTCGGTGAGCCTCACCTCGGGTTACCACCCGGAGAGTAATGGGCATGAACGTGTGAACCAGGATGTGGGTAGGTTTCTTAGAACATACTGCCAGGACCGGCCGGAGGAGTGGGCAAGGTACGTTCCCTGGGCCGAAATGGCCCAGAATTCCCTACGCCATTCCTCCACTAACCTAACCCCTTTCCAATGTGTGTTAGGGTACCAGCCGGTTCTGGCACCTTGGCAGCAGAGCCAGATCGAGGCTCCTGCGGTGGATGAGTGGGCGCGGCGCTCGGAGGAGACATGGAACGCTGCACACGTCCACCTGCAGCGGGCCCTCCGACGTCATAAGGCGAGCGCCGATCTCCACCGCAGTGAGGGACCGGTGTACGCACCTGGTGATCGAGTCTGGCTCTCTACCAGAAACCTGCCCCTCCGCCTGCCCTGTCGGAAACTGGGTCGGCGGTTTGTAGGGCCATTTAAAGTCCTGGGAAGGTTGAACGAGGTGTGTTACAAATTACAACTACCTGTTGAATATAAAAGTATTAACCCCTCGTTCCATGTGTCCCTTCTCAGGCCGGTGGTAGCTGGCCCACTCCAAGAAAGTGAGATCAGGGAGACTCCTCCGCCCCCATTGGACATCGAGGGGGCACCGGCGTACTCCGTGAGGTCCATCTTGGATTCGAGACGTCGGATGGGGGGTCTCCAGTATCTAGTGGAGTGGGAGGGGTACGGTCCGGAGGAGCGGTGCTGGGTGCCGAGGAGAGACATTTTGGACCCGTCTCTCCTGACGGAATTCCATCGTGGGCACCCGACGCACCCTGCTCCGCGTCCTCCGGGTCGTCCCCGAGGCCGGAGTCGGCGCACGTCTGGAGCCGCGCATCAAGGGGGGGGTACTGTCACGGTTTCGGCCGAGGCTGCCTCTCTCCCTTGTTCGGGCAGGCTTCGGCGTTCGTTGTCTCCGGAATACTAGCTGCCACCGTTGTATGTTTCATGTTCGTTTGCTTTTGTCTGTTTGTTGTCACACCTGTTCTCGGTTAGCGTAATTAGTGTCCTATAAGTTTCTCGTTGTGTTTGTCTAGTGTTGTGTGTTATTGATTTTGGTCTGTCGTGTGTAGGGCTTCATTTTGTAATTTCGCTCGGTTGAGCTTCCCTCCACTGCGTTGGAGTATTACGCACCTGTTTTGTGCGCTTTCATTTGTTCGCCTTCTTGCGTCATTTCGCCTTCGGGCAAGAGTTGTCTATTCCTGTGGAATTAAAGTCTGTGGACTAATCGCTGGTTGATTCCACATGAACCCAGACGGTACGAGAGTATGTGTGAGAGAGCTAACGTTGGATGTGGGTTTGAGCGGTCGTCGAGATCATGCACGCTCGAGCAGAGAGAGACAGGGGAGAAGAGAGAGAGAGGAGGGGGGAGAGAGTGAGCGGAGTGAGAGAGAGAGATAGAGAGAGAGAGCCAGAGAGAGAGAGAGGAGGAGCGAGAGAGAGAGAGAGAGAGAGAGGAGAGAGAGAGAGAGAGAGAGGAGAGAGAGAGATATAGTGTGGAACGATGACTGATATAGTTTATGACTTCTGCTGAGAATGACCTTATCTATCTTGTCCAGGAAGCATCATGATAGTCAATTACCTCACCCAGCCTTTAACCAGATAGTCACTTTTGTTTCTTACTTCTTAGGCAAAAAAGTAGTTTAAAGCTCAGCTGATGACAAGATTGGCTGACTTGCAGTAAGAGAGAACAGCACCACGAGACCTCACACAGTTGTGAAACATTGTGAAACGTCACATACAGTAGTGCCACACACACAGGGATGGAAATTAAGCTAGCCCTCTAGCCCATTGCTAGTACTTTTCAGACCGGGCTAGTAAAAAATGTGCCCAATTAGCCACCCGGCTATTGACATTTTGTCATTTCAAATATCGCATGGCACAGATTTTAGACCCGGGCTCTGATGAAGGCCTTGAGGTGATACGTAAAGCTTAATAAAGAGCACTTATATTAGCAAGAGCAGCATGCAGGTTTCTTATTTTTTCTCTCATGTTATTCAATTGTTACCATGCACCTGCAACAAAGATAGCTCAAATGTGCGAGTGCCTTTTGAATTTCTAGACCCGGGCTAGTAAAAATTGTAGTCTACTAGCCTGGCTGTCCAGTGCCCAAAATCCTTACCTTCCATCCCTGCTCACACACGATCATCCACAAAGAGCAGAGGCATTCTACTACTAGTCTGACATGGGGTCGTTCAGGGGAGCTGCAGGCCAACGTGAAATGGTCAATTGTATCTTGTGTATGACAGCAAAGTGTCATACACAAGTGAATGTGTTATAACACTGTTAGTATATTATGTCCTTTGATGCTAAGTTGTTTTATCTATTGCCAATGTATTTATTAATGTTAATGAGAAGGTTATGAGAATATTATGCCATGGATTTCAGCCTGTAGCTATAAAACTTAAATGTCTATGAAGCACTCCCCAAATGTATTCACGTTAATCTCCAATGATTCATAACCCTCCGTCAGTAAACAAATCATCCATCGTGTGACATGCTGTGCGAAGAGCCTGAGGAAACACACACGCGCTCACACGCTCTCTCTCTCACTCACTCACTCACTCACTCAAACTCACCCAGCCAGTAGTGCAGGTCGTAGAAGCAGCTATCCCGCAGTTTGATGGTGTGGAGGACCACATACGCGTCCCCAACATAGAAGTTCCCGTGCAGGTTCTCAGGCACAGGGACCAGCTCCATCTTCTCTATCCTCCATATCTGGAGACCGGCTGCCCTGCCTGCCTTGTCAAACTCCCTGTGGTAGAGCACCATGGTTCCTCTGGTTGTCTGGTGGCAGAAGGGGGATGTCTGGATGTGGATATCTGGTGTGGTGAGAGGAGTGTGGGGTGAGTTCGAGGCACAGACTGCTGCTCTGTTCTCTCTGGTCCAGGGGAGAAGTGAGTCAATAGCAGCAGTGTGCAGGGCTCTAAGGCTGAGGTTGAGGCTGAGAGGGGGTGGGTGTGTCTTAGAGGCTGCCAAAGTACACACACAATGTGCTTGCACACATACACACACACATGTTTTCACTACACATACATATTACTGTCTCTATCCATGCTCAATATTTCCAAGATGCCCTTGGAAAAGCGCTCACAGTAAAGTTGTTGCTATAATAACTTTATTACATCATAATATTAGGCTTCAAATAAATTGCACTCAGATCAGGTCAATAAAGATATTTATCTTGTAGTTTTAACAGAGCTCAGCAAATCGAATCAAATTTTATTTGTCACATGCGCCGAATACAACAGACCTTACCGTGAAATGCTTACTTACAAGCCCTTAACCAACAATGCAGTTCAAGAAATAGAGTTAAGAAAATATTTACTAAATAAACTAAAGTTCAAAATAAAATAAAAAGTAACACAATAAAATGTCATAACAATAACGAGGCTATATACAGGGGGTACCGGTACCGAGTCAATGTGCGGGGGTACAGGTTAGTCGAGGTAATTTGTACATGTAGGTAGAGGTAAAGTGACTATGCACAGATAATAAACTGTGAGTAGCAGCAGTGTTAATGTAAATAGTCCGGGTGGCCATTTGATTGATTGTTCAGCAGTCTTATAGCTTGGGGGTAGAAGCTGTTAAGGAGCCTTTTGGACCTAGACTTGGCGCACTGGTACCACTTGCCGTGCGGTAGCAGAGAGAACAGTCTATGACTTGGGTGACTGGAGTCTTTTACAATTTTTAAGGCCTTCCTCTGACACCGCCTGGTATATACAGTACCAGTCAAAAGTTTGGACACACCTACTCATTCCAGGGTTTTTCTTTATTTTTTATATTTTCTACATTGTAGAATAATAGTGAAGATATCAAAACTATGAAATAACACATATGGAATCATGTAGTAACCAAAAAAGTGTTAAACAAATCGAAATATATGTTATATTTGAGATTCTTCAAAGTAACCACCCTTTGCCTCGATGACAGCTTTGCACACTCTTGGCATTATCTGACCAGGAACCTAAATATAAACCAGACATTACATAATTGTTCCCTTTCAAGTTCTCTATTTCTTGTTCCGTATTAGACTGGTCTCTAAAGGTTATGGCTTAGGGGAGAGTCCTAGTTCAAGGTCTTTGCGATGGTATTGAAAACTTGTAGATTTACCAGCCATACCTGCTCAATTCCAACACATTGCACAGCTTGGGGCCAATTCTTTGGAAAATGTCAATCATTTTCCTCATAAGTCTTGAAATACTCTGACAGTCTGTAGTATAACTACTTACTACTAACTATTACATACAGTGGGGAAAATAGTATTTAGTCAGCCACCAATTGTGCAAGTTCTCCCACTTAAAAAGATGAGAGAGGCCTGTAATTTTCATCATAGGTACACGTCAACTATGACAGACAAAATGAGAAGAAAAAATCCAGAAAATCACATTGTAGGATTTTTAATGAATTTATTTGCAAATTATGGTGGAAAATAAGTATTTGGTCAATAACAAAAGTTTCTCAATACTTTGTTATATACCCTTTGTGTCACGGTTTCGGCCGAGGCTGCTCCTTCTCCTTGTTCGGGCAGGCTTCGGCGGTCGTCGTCCCCGGAGTACTAGCTGCCACCGTTCGTTGTGTCTGTGTGTGTTTGGTTTGGTCTGATTTGTTACACCTGTTGCTCATTTCGTCTTGATTATGTGTCCTTTAAGTTCTCGTTGTTTCTCTCTTGTGGTTGTGTGTAGTTGTTCTATGTCAGCAGGTGTTGCCAGTCAGTTTGTGCTCTATGTATTTAGAGAGTCCGCACGTTGTGCGTTTGTTGTACTTTTACGCTGAGTGCGTTTATTTTTCCCTTGTTCAACTGGCTCTGTTTATAGCCGTTGTTTCTGTGGACTTTATTAAAGTGTTTTTGGACTTGCATCTGCATCCTGCAATTGATTCCACACCAGTGGCGGCTCCTGAAAAAATTCTCAGGAGGGGCAATTTTTCTGATGATTTAGGTGACCTACACACATTTAAAAAAAGATATGTCCAGCAACAACATGAAGACAGGGGCAGCATATAAGTCAATACCAGAAGCATTTATTGACTGATCTCAAAAGTGTTGGCTTACCAGGGTTGGTGGAGCCCTCAGTTTCATCTTTGCCTCGCAAAGCTAACTCAAACACTCCGCAAAACTTCACACACTGGATTAGCCGGCTGAGGATGTGGCGGTTCTTGCTAATGTCGTAGTAAATATATTTGTTATAGTGAATATGGAATATGATATGTTGAGTAAAATGTTGTGCTAAGATCTATTTAGGTCAGGAGCTGGTTATAAGTTCTATTCCTATCCAATAACAATGGACAAAAGGGTCCTATCTTGTCAGCCTTGTCAGCAGGTGGCCAAGGACAACACCCACGCCATAGGCCTCTCAGTTCTTCCAACTCACGAGTTCTTGCTCTGAGGACACACACACACACAAACACACACACACACACACATATCACTGTTAAACACACACACACACATCATCACTGTTAAACACACACACACACACACACACACACAAAAATCCCCTCTCTTAGGCTGAACATTTGAAGACAGAGAACCCGACTCAGAGCCAATGCAACAGTGACAGTAGCCTGCAGGGGACCTCGCCCAACTCATCAGGACCAATCAGAAGATCAGAACTACTAGATTGAACCTACTTCATTTATTGCATAAAATGTCTGCACACAATGTTTCGGGGCTCTCTTCAGATAATAATAATAATAATAATAATAATAATAATATGCCATTTAGCAGACGCTTTTATCCAAAGCGACTTACAGTCATGCGTGCATACATTTTTGTGTATGGGTGGTCCCGGGGATCGAACCCACTACCTTGGCGTTACAAGCACCATGCTCTACCAGCTGAGCTACAGAAAGTGGATACTCATGGATGCGCATTGCAATTGTAAAATGTCAACACAATTGGAGACACCACGTCATTTTTGGAGACATGTTATTGACAGTAAACTATTGTAGATGCGACTGCTAACTAACTAAAACATTTTAGCTGGCTAGCTAATCATCTTAGCTAAATGTGGGGCAAACAATTCAGTTATTTACCGTTAATTTGAGGGATTGGGGTGAAAGAAATCGAGTTACATAGTGATACTTTACGATATACTGTATTGACAATATCGCAATATTTTAGCGCTAGTTGGCTGTACCTGCACCAAAACACCATTATTGTTCCTTCATAGCTTGTTCTCAATCTTTTCACATTGGGAGCCAATTTGTTTTCAGCACTTTTATTTCCATGACTGATCAAAACTCGTTCTCATGGCTTTCTGATCCCTCTGCAACAGACATATGGTGCGCAATAAAATCACAGTATCGAATCGCAATACGTATAGAATCATGAGACTCGCAATGCTGATGCATATATATTATCGTGAGGTTCCTGGCAATTCCCAGGCCAAGTTCATTTTTAAGAGTTTGACGAACGGGTCCGTGAACGCGATTCCAGATATATTTACCTCTGAATAAACTGCCTTTATTACACCATATCCACATCCAGTAAACTTGTGATTATCAACACTAACCTCATCGTTGTGGCGGCGGACAGCTAGCCTGTATCCCTCGTCATCCAGTTGAGTGAGTGGCAATGTCTTTTTTCGTTCGTACCAATTTTTGGAAAATCCTCGGGTGTAGGACTTTCCGCCTTTAGTAGAAACCTGTTGAATTATTAAATTTGGTCTGGGAGGTCCTAATTGTTTCGTTGCCAATTTATCTTCATTTGTTCGCCGACAAAAAGGAACTTCTTTCAAACAATCCACTCTTTTCTCAGTTACGTTCATGGTTACGTTACGTTACGTATGACGAAAGCGCGTAAGTGCAAGCCCACAGACACCCATTGAGATTGTATTGAAGGCTCTGAAATTTGAAAAAAATAGATTTTACATGGGAGTCTATGACAGAAGTTCTGGGCGATTTTCAATCTGACTGAAATCGCCCCAAAAGGGGGGGGAGCCATTTGAAGCACGACTTTAGCCTGATTCGACATTTAGTGGCAGTGTGGCACTGTGGCAGATCAGACGTATAGATTACAACACTGATAACTACTGTTGCCGTGATATAATTGATTAGAAAAAAAATCCCTTCCTTTTCCCGTTTGGCAGTGCGTCGCCCATATCGCCCTATTGAAGAGGCCGTCCCTGTTCCACACCACACCTACGCCCGGCCTTGACACTTTGTTGGCAATGACACAGGTCAAACGTTTTCTGTAAGTCTTCACAAGGTTTTCACACACTGTTGCTGGTATTTTGGCCCATTCCTCCATGCAGATCTCCTCTAGAGCAGTGATGTTTTGGGGCTGTCGCTGGGCAACACGGACTTTCAACTCCCTCCAAAGATTTTCTATGGGGTTGAGATCTGGAGACTGGCTAGGCCACTCCAGGACCTTGAAATGCTTCTTACGAAGCCACTCCTTCGTTGCCCGGGCGGTGTGTTTGGGATCATTGTCATGCTGAAAGACCCAGCCACGTTTCATCTTCAATGCCCTTGCTGATGGAAGGAGGTTTTCACTCAAAATCTCACGATACATGGCCCCATTCATTCTTTCCTTTACACGGATCAGTCGTCCTGGTCCCTTTGCAGAAAAACAGCCCCAAAGCATGATGTTTCCACCCCCATGCTTCACAGTAGGTATGGTGTTCTTTGGATGCAACTCAGCATTCTTTGTCCTCCAAACACAACGAGTTGAGTTTTTACCAAAAAGTTCTATTTTGGTTTCATCTGACCATATGACATTCTCCCAATCCTCTTCTGGATCATCCAAATGCACTCTAGCAAACTTCAGACGGGCCTGGACATGTACTGGCTTAAGCAGGGGGACACGTCTGGCACTGCAGGATTTGAGTCCCTGGCGGCGTAGTGTGTTACTGATGGTAGGCTTTGTTACTTTGGTCCCAGCTCTCTGCAGGTCATT